GTCACCACACGGGATATGCGCCCTCGATCCCTATCCTTTCCCACCAAAGTCGCGTCGGACGTTTCGCCTTCTCGGGCAGACCAAGACTCTTTACCAGCAAAAGGATACAAGTCAAAAAAGCGTTCCTCCGGCCCGCTTGGGCCCAAGAGTTCGAGGGCTAGCCCATCAACGGTTTCGACGACCGTCCCAAGGCAGCCTTACGATGAAGGACGGGCCCGCGAGCAGCCAAAACCCAGGCACACGAGTGCCACAAGTATCTCGACCCATGATTGAGTCTCAGCCAGGCTGACTCTTGCTAGATCCCCGCGAACGGGATACCGGCACTCCAATCGAATTATTAAGTTATCAAAACAGCAAATCTCACAGCCATACCCGCGAAGGGTCCGAATTACCCCCCGGTCGATTCTATCCGAATCACCCGGGGGCTCGGGGGTACACCCGACGGGTGCGCTCACGCGCACCCTCTGGCGAATCAAAATACCCTCCGGGCAATTCTATCCGAATCACCCGGGGGCTCGAGGGCTACACCTGTCGAGCGCGCACCCTCTGGCAAGTCAAATCACCCCCCGGGCGATTCTATCCAAATCACCCAGGGGCTCGAGGGCTACTGTCGGGGACCGAATACTGGGTACCCAAAGAGGAGCTAATAACCATCAAACGTTGATGCTTTCGAACATGCAAGAACACAACTACACTTCTTGCCCAAACGACCGAAGGTTGGCTCCGCCTCGCCTGACCCCTGAGGGCTAGCTCCGCCTCGCCCAACCCTGAAGGCTGGACTCCGCCTCATCCGACGTCTGGGGGCGGACTCTGCCTCGCCCGACGTCCGAGGGCTGGCTCCGCTTCGCCCGACCCCTGAGGGCTGGACTCCGCCTCACCCGACAACTGAGGGCTGGCTCCGCCTCGCCCGACCCCTGAGGGCTGGACTCCGCCTCACCCGACGACTGAGGGCTGGCTCCGCCTCGCCCGACGTCCGGGGGCAGGCTCCGCCTCGCCCAACGTCTATGCGCTGCTCCTTCATAACTACGTGCGCAGATAAGGCGGGGCACTCAAGTCAACCGCAATACCGAGGATCATACCCTGCACGCTTGCAGGAAAGTACCATCAGGATATGACCAGACGGACGCTTTAAGCCCTTTTAGGCATGTCAGAGCCCAAATAGTGTTGTGGGCGCCGACATTTATCTTACGGTGTTATGGGCGCCGGCATTTGCCCTTGGACACAAATCCTGACGGAAACATGCGATAACCACTACGGTCCAGGAGGAAACTCATGTCATCTACAGTAACGAACGTGGGGCCTCTACGCCATCTGCTCCCCGTAGGGTCGCGGCTCGGCACCCTGGCGCGCCGCGTCGTCCACCGGAGTGGAATGGGATGTGACCACTTGCTGAACGAAGCCAGAGCACGGCCCTATCAGGATCAGCAAACGTGCTATCCCTGGCACCGTCTGCCGTATCAACAGGGCAGACTCAAAGGAAAAAGAAGACCCGGCACCTTTGAAAGACCTTCTTTACCTCTGGTTTTTCCTCTTTCTCCCATCTATAATCCCTGCTCATCCTTGATCTATAAAAGGGAGGGCAGGGCACCCCACTAAAGGGGACGGATCAATTTCAACACACCACACATCACATAACACATAGCTAAGCAGCAACTGAGCTCTCAGTACCCGTTCGACCTTACCATCAGAGACTTAGAACATGTCCCCCTCTCGACCGTTTGTACCCCCTACTACAAACCTTTCAGTGCTAATAACACGTGCAGCAGCAGCAAACTGAACGTAGGGACATTCTATCCGAACCGGTATAAACCTTATGTCTTTTAGCACACCATCCGAACCCAACACGTAACAAATATAAATTTGCTAGCCATCTCTTCCTCTTCCACCTCTGTACCAGTGGAGCTCTGTGATTGGGCAACATGCTTGAAGCCATCACCTTCGTCAGATGTTGTTGGCCCATCCTGATCATCTCCGAAGCATGAGACGTGCCACAATCTCCATCCCTGTAAACGCTCAAAAGTAAAAAGGAGAAAGGAGTAAAAATGCCCAAGAAGAAACAGGTTGGCTAGGCATATAACATGAGTCAGGTGATGAGAGCAGCATTGCAGTTCCTAGAACGAACTGGATGCATTGAGCACCCAGCAGTACACGATTTTCTTTAACCAGTTTAGAACTCCAGATTCTAAACAGTCAGCACGCGCCACCAAGATGGAAGCCTAGAGCCCAGATTTTAGCAGCGAGATCCGAAATTCAACAAATCCAAGCAACATAGGAGGGAAAGTTGTGCGCTGCTGAACGAAGGTTTAGGTGCCCCCTACATGCGCACGCAGGTCGAATCGATTGGTCGGATGGAGCGCCGTACCTTCGCTGGAGCCGCCCTCCGAGGCCCGAAGCCGAGCGACGGCCTCGCGGCGGTGGTGACGGCGGAGGAAGAGAGAGGTGGGAGCCAAACCCGGAACCGTGGAGCGGGAGGGGCCAGACACGAGGCGGAGGACGAGGACATGAGTGGTGTGGCCGTCTGGGTGTGGTGTGGAGTGTGGAGGCGGCGACCTAGCTCTGGTAGCGAAAAGGCCTTAAGGCATTGGCGGCGAATTTTGCTCCACTGAGACTAGCCACAGCGTCGTCGGTGCTCAAAAAATTCTCTCTCTGCCACCTCTACCGATGCCACAATTCTTTCTATCCTCATAGCGTCGGCACCAGTGCCTTCTGCTAGGCGGACCCCACATCACAAAACCAGCTCCGGAAGAGAGAGCATGATTTGGCATCGATGCTTCGACATGATCCGGTGCCGAATATTTTTCCCAACTCGGCATCGGCCGCAGTGGTGGGCACAGGGGCTTGCACCTTCTCTCTCCTTTTCAAGCACCGGTAAAACCATACATTGTGGCCAGTCTGATGATGGTCCGAGTGACTGAGGTAGGCAGCAAAGGGGGTAGATAGAAGATGGGTAGCCCAAAATGATATGTGCGAGGCATAAGTCCAGCCCAATAGATAATAACCCAACTATTATATGTGCCGGCCCAGGAAGCTAATACGCTAATTCTAAAAAAAAAACTAATAAATAGTATATGTTAGGAGAAATTTGATTTGTTAAAATATTGCATTGGTAAATTGTAAAAAAAAGTATAAAAATAGATTGTTCGCTAACGAAGACCTAGATATACGTGTTTTAGTAGTGATATGTTTTATTCCATCTTATACACTTACCGTATATGTTTTATTTAATCTTATGCGCGTAGGTCCGCCCTACCTATAATTTTGTCATGGGTCCGCTACTAATAGCATACAAATATTTGTACTTCCTCCATTCCTATATATTATATCTACATATTTATTAAAACAATGAATTAAAAAAAACAGAACGATGGAACTGAGGGAGTATGTGACAACAACATTAGTTTGTTTTATTTAACGCATGTAATGTAGTACTCCCTTCGTTCCAAATTATAAGTCGTTTTAACTTTTTGGGTACATTCATTTCGCTATGCATCTAAATATAATAATATGTCTAGATACATAGCAAAATGGATGAACCAAAAAAATCAAAACTTATAATTTGGAATAGAGGGAGTACATGATTCTATCAGGTTTTACTTTCGGATGCAAATCATATCTAATAGGATATGTAAGTTAGATCTAAAAGGAAGATATTTTTTCTATTTTTCTAGCTAAATATATATTTTTCTAATTACCTTCTAAGAGTTAATATATGATAAAATCATTTAGATGGATGGACTACAATTATTCGGAGTATTGTAGTAAGATACAAATATATGCTCATGGTATATGCTTTAGTGCACTGGCTCACAAGGTGTCTCGAGCTGAAAAATGAGCCGAGTCGAGCTAAACTTTTAACTCGTTATTACACTTCATGTTGAGACAGTTCGTGACTTTTAACTCGTTATTACACTACAAGTTGAGACAGTTCGTTATAGTAACGAGCTATAACAAGACCGAGCTGACTCGATATCTAGCCCAATCCACAAATAATGAAGTTATCTGAATAGGACAATTGGTCCCCCATAGTAGTACCAAAATTGAGAGCTTAGTAGAAGTAATGCATTCCTTTACTAGGTTAACAAAGTGATTACTGAGCCTCAATTCCTTTACTAGGTTAACAAAGTGATTACTGAGCCCCAAATTAGTGACAGCGGATAGAATTAAGTCCCATTCAATTCTGTCAAAAACTTTATCTAGATCTATTTTATGAAAAAGACTAGCTGGTCCACAAAATACACGCCAATCTGTAACTTCCGGAAACACTTCAAAAAGGATTAAGGCTTTGTTTGAATGTAGTCAGATTCTAATCCACGTGTGTTTGGATGGAGTGGAGTGGAACTTCAACTAAATTCCACCCTAACACATGTGGATTAAGGTGAATTTGATAACATCCAAACAAGGCCTAAATAGAGTAAGAATGCCATTGCGTCTACATTTGAACCAGGGAATAGAAACTTAGTTATATTATGGAGAGGTTATCATTAAAGTATTATATTAAAATCGGATAGAAAACAACAAAAATCTCCAAATGACCTTTCCACCTACCCTTACTTCTCACTCCCTTTCAATCCTGGAGAAACAGCAAGCATCTGGTCCTTTTTGCTAGGAGGTCACTGCATTGCGGCCGATTAAAAAAACTCAGAACATAGCAAGCCATCTTAAAACACACACACTGCAAGTGAACAAATACACTTCACATGAATGTGTAGATCTGATTCTGAAACCATAAAAATAAAAGGGTCCCAGATAAATGAGCTATCACACAGCATTCAGCTTTACAAACTACAGACTGCCCAACACTGTCAACGCTTTTCATCACATCTATCGAGAGACAACTCTTGGCCATAGTCTTTCACAAGTGCGGCATGTGGGTTTTAGCTTCAAACACAGAAGCACGACAAATTAGCTGCACATACTTGTTTCCTTTGTCGATATAAATGAAATTGGACGAGGACTTCCTCACGTATACACCATGTTCAGTCAAGTGCTATGTGTCAAAGTCAGTGGCATGAGACGTTATTCGTTCCATAACTTAACCGTTGCAGGCTTGTATCTGACATATCTGTCATCCATCTCTGCGGTCCACCATCATCGCCCATGACATTGTATGCATAAGATGAAAGCCCAATGTTCTCACCACATGAGTTCGCCTTTCCCAGGTTATATAACCTTTCTGTTCTGGACAGCACTACGAGGTTGGAGAATGTTGAGAAGCTATTGCCAACAAACACATCTGCTCTCGAGCACACCTCAAAGTCAATGGCAGACTTTATAAGATATGGCTGGCGATCATAGATGTCAGTAACTCCAAGTTTCTTCTTCTCATAGGCAACCATACCCACTCTCCACCCACTGGTTATTGAATCATCTTCAAGAAGGCTGTCAGCTACCGCAAGATAAACAACAACTGGCCGACGTAGATCAGTGATCTGTGAGACCTTATGAATGATATCTTCTTTACTACTGCAGATTTCATGTGACTTGGACCGCTGCTCCCACTTCTTGCAATGTATCATCCAATCTTTTTCTATTCTCATGTGAACAGCAACATACGGTACAGGCGGATTCGTTGAGCCATCTCTCCTCTGCTTACTATGAGAACTCCCAGCTTCATGTCTTGCTCTTTGGCCTGCCTCTCTAATCTTGGATATGACCTTAACCACTTCGGTTTCTATCTCAGGAACTAAGACAAGGCAATCGAAGATTTTGGCATAGTCTTTGACTGGCCAGTGGTCAGGCCACAGAAATGGATTTTTCCCAATAATTTCAATGACTTCAGAGTCATCCGCATTGCTCCCTATCAATTGCTGCAGTTGATCCAAATCTCTGTCTGCCGTCCACCTTCTACCAGTCCCCTTTTGGAGTTTGAAAGGCTCGGTTCGATTTGAAACTTCTGAATACTGAGCTAACCTCACAAAGCCATGGCAACGCGCATTGAACTTGTTAAAGTCAAACACCTTGTCAAAATTGATAGGCTGCAGCAAGTCAACCTCTTTGTAGAAGAGTGAAGCACTCAAGCTTGGCATGAGAAGGGATCTGTTCAGGAATCTTGCAGTCAAGCATGCTCTGGCGAAGGCAATCTTTTGATTGTTCAACCCCCATATGATCTGTGGGACCTCAAGAAACTTGTCTCGTCTAATTCTAGGAAGCAAGTCAGGGGCTGTTGACTCGTAAAATTCTTTCTTCTCAGATGAATCTATAGCAAGAAAAGGAGATACGATTGCTCTCAACAAAATAAGGACAATCACTATCAGAAGGCCTTTACAGATCACAGGCCTTGCGGGCATGCTAAAGAGCTTGAGATGCTTAAGCTCAAGTAGAATGTTCATCGGACCACTTGTTCAAACCCTTCTCATCCTTTTAGTACCCAACCATGTAGAGTATGCCATTACCAACGCCCATGGTGCATGATAAACATTTATCTTCGGAAACTTTCAGAGGAAGAGCAAGCTATGCTGCAATTTAATGGAAATCAATAACCAAACACACTTCAATGTTGGCAAGTTGGGATCTTTCAAGTGCTAATGTCGGCATACTTGTTGATATTTCTCCATGACCAATTTAGTACATGCTTGATAAAGAGGCTGCAAATACAGAGGAAAATAAAAGGAATTCAATTTTTTAGATGTTATGGATTTCCATCCCTGATAATATAATTTCATTTCTAAGGGAAAAAAAAGGTAGCCACAGAAAGGAGCATTTTTTTTCCACACTGCATTTACTAATGCATACACAGGAGCTCATAAATGAACTTATGTGAGCTAGCATGGATTCTGCGCAGGTCACACAGAATCCCATGGATGACAGGACCCATTTGAGCACTTGTGTCGCACTGAACCGGGCGACCATAAGTAACTGGAGTGGCAAATTCGATCAGTTAAGGATGTGCTGACACCAATTGGATGGGTTATTGCAGAAAGATTCATACTCGAGTCCGGAACAGACATCAATACAATACCAAAGCGAAATGAACGGCACCCTATAAATTAGTTTAGGGGGGTTGCTCACCAACAGTAGAAATTAGCACGGGCGGATCCCCAAGGGCTAAGCCGAGGAGGAAGGGCGGGATTCCCTGGCCATCGCGTGGCTCCTCCTGTCGCCGGCAGCGAGCTCTCCGCTCCACGGCTGAGCTCGTCCGGCGGCGGGAGAGGCGGAGTGTGACCAACGGCCGGTGGAGCGGAGGGGGTCGCGAGATCTAGGGGAGTGGAGGCGGGTCCGGTGCCCCGCGGCGCGGCGGAGGCGGCGGGGGAGAGGCCGGCCGGCAACAGCGGAGGTCGTAGGCGTGGGGTTGGCGGTTGGCCGGTTGGGGGCCGAGCGGGCGGAGGAGAGGTCGCGGCGCGTGGCGTGGGGTTGGGACGGGATCTTCCTTACGAATTCGTGTTTCTGTTGCCGTATCGAGCGACTGACCCGAGCTGTCGGAATTGGCCTAACCCATCGGCTATTCGGCTGCCTGGAATTCGGATTCGGTTCACCGATTCGGTTGTGAAGAATTGTGACGAGGAGGTAGTAGGTAAGGACATGGTCACACAAATAATTTTTTAAGGAGACAATCGATATTTTATAGGCACATCGAACCAAATCACAATGTTCTATATAGTTGAGTTTCATTTAGCTTGTACTCCCTCCGTCCCAGCACCTCTATGATTTGAAAATTTGTTCCAGAATTAAAGGTTAGTGATAGCTAGCTAACAGTTCAGCAGCTGCAAGCCTGCAACTCTATCGATCACCTTGGGAGCAATGAAATAAAAAAATTGCCATAAAAAGGAAAAATGACATGAGATACTCCATGTTCGTTTGTTGGTTTCAGCCAACCTAAATCAGCTAGCCAACAGTATTTTTCTCTCACAACGAACCAGCACCAGCCAATTCAAACCAGTTTAGAAACCAACCAGCGAACAAGTCCGCACCTTTGCAGTTCAAAAATTTTCCCAAAATAAAAGGTCATACACAGAATTCCAGTGCTGGTACAAGTACCTGGAACCTGTACTGACCGGCGCCGAGGAAATAAAAAATTCAACTTAAAAAATGGAAAGCCACCAGTAGTGCTCTCGCCCACATATTTACAATGAGGTAGCGCTGGAACTCACAGCCTGCCTGGTACCTTCGGAAGTTTTTCCTCGCCTGTGCCTATACCATCTGACACATACATATAATATTAAATATGAACTAAAAAATAACTAATTACATAGATTACGACTAATTTCGTTTTTAAACCTAATTAGTCCATGATTTGACAATGTGGTGCTACATTAAAGCTGTAGTAAACATGTGCTGATAACGATTAATTAGGCTTAATAAATTCGTCTCGCGGAGTACTGATGACTTCTATAATTTATTTTATCGGCCCCCCGTTCGCGTGCCCTTGAACCCGGCTTGATCCGCTTCTTTTTTCATCCGGAACAATGTTTTTCTCTTATAAATTCCTCCAGATTCATCCAAAACCATCCAGATTCCTCCAAATTCCTCCAAGCGAACGGGACCATTATTATTATCTGAACACTCTCATGTGACACCCCGATGTGACATCCAATGTGACACCCTTAAACTTTAGCCCCTAAATTTAAACAGCACCTCACGAACCTTCATAGGGCGTCAAAGCTCAAGAATAGATTGTGAGTCCACTTTCTATGGGTATTATTGTACTACCTTCGTTTTCATTTACTTGTCACCGAATTTTTACTATAAAAATTTTGATCATATGTTTTTTTTCCTGCAAAAGATTTTTAGATACATCAAGTTTTCACATATATGATTCTTTATTGAACATACTTTATTAGTGTTATATACATGAAAGTATCTAAGATTTTTTAGAAGAAAAAATAAATGGTCAAATTTGCTACCGTAAAGGTTGGTGACATGTAAATGGAAACGGAAGGAAGTAATTTTACATTGTCCTTGGTACTCACACCTGGTGCTAGACGTGCAATTAAGGGTGTGTTTAGTTGGGGAGGTGAAAATTTTTGGGTGTCACATCGGATGTGTTGGAAAGATGTCGGTAGGGATTTTTGATACTAATAAAAAAACAAATTACAGAACCCATCAGGAAACTGCGAGACGAATCTAATAATACTAATTAATCGGTCATTAGCACATGTGGTTACTGTAGCACTTAAGGCTTTTCATGGACTAATTAGGCTTAAAAGATTTGTCTTACGATTTTGCCGAGAACTATGTAATTAGTTTTTTTTTCGTCTACATTTAATACTCCATATATATATCCAAACATACTCTTTTATTATAAGAGGCAAAAAAAAATTTGAAAACTAAACCAGGCCTAAATTGGGACAGAGGGAGTACCAGGAAGGCTGTGGACCACTCTTTTGCTGATTCCTTCTCCCAGGCTTCTGTACATGCTCAATTAGGCTTCTTCTGTTATGGGGCAGTATTGTTATTTTATCTTTCATCTTGGTTCTTGCGCTAAATCCTAGTAGAATGCTAACTTATTTTACCAAACAAAAAAGTTGCCATGGATATTAAAAATCTGAAAGAAAAAAAAGAAAATAACATATTCCTCGCGATAAAGAAAAAAGAACAACTGACCAGCCACAACCCACAACGAACGGGACAGGACCTTAGACACGCAGGGTCCTAGAAATTGCTCTGTTGGTTTATCTTAGCTGCATACCTTGGACCGGACTGGCTCTCTTTGATTTTTTAATTAAGTTGGACCAGTCGACCAACCAGATGAACGGTTGAATTAGTCGTTAGACGAAAAGCACAACTTAGCTTTCCGCAAACTCATTGCAAATCTCCTACAGATTTGTGTCGCTGATGGTAATTCAAAGGAGCGTCCAACAGTTCTAAACAAATCCTTATGCATCAAAAGCTTCAGTATATCTTGGTGGCCTAAGAAAGATTGATGGTGTGAGATCTGATAGGCACGTATTTTTCACTGGAAACATGTCAGCACAGGAACAATGTACAATTGAAGAAGAAAGGAAGCCATTTGCAGGCTTTAATTTAACAGCGAAAGCCAAAGTCCAATACTGAGGGAAAGGAGCTATAGGGCTTTACATATCAACAAAACAATTTGTGTACAACAGTGGCGATTACACTTCTCGCAAAACAATTACTTCCAATTACATGCTGGTGTGTAGTTCTTGGTCGCTGAGGATCTGATCTTGCATGTTATCTGCAGCAGGCAAAGAGGAGCTCCTTTGCAGTCCACGTCACCTCCGCAAGATCTTGTAGTGACTCGATGGTTTCTTTCTTCAGTGGGAAAACCTTCTCCATGCATTCTGTCAGGTTAGGAAAGATGCGCTTAAAATGACCCAGCTTGCAGAAAGATTGTATGTCACAAGGTCATTACTAGTTTTGCAAACGTACCTGGATGTCTCACAACATTCAGCAGTGACAGCGAAGCAAGTACCCTCTCCTCCAAAACTCTGTCATAGCTTAAGCTATCTAAAAGCTTGGACGCGAGAATGGACCATGCTAGAGGCTGGAAATCGTTGCATCCATGCAGCGGTGAGAGGGAGCTGCTCATCCATGCTACAGTGATGAGGCACGATCCACTGAGACTAGGGATTCCATCAGATATGCAGTTTGACAGTGCCATGAGGAACCTTTTGCCCCCACTCTTCAGTAGCATTAAGGCAAGTTTCTTCAGCCGTTCTTCAACTAGCTTTTCTTCTTCCTAGTCATTAGTGCAAACATGATGGTTTAAAAAACCAAACATTTTAGGGGGAAAAACAAAGACCAAATCATAATTAAGGTAATCATAAATCATAGGCTTTTTTTCGTTCATTTGAACATACCGCTCGAACACTCTTATCTTTGAATATTTCCGATCTCCTAAAGGATTCAGAGAGGGAATCATCTAGGCCTGCTGTCTTTAGTAGCCATGCTTCTGCTACGGGTTCTCCTGAAGACGAAAACCGCCCTGCCAAGATTAAAAGAGCTCGAGCACACTGTTCCTGGACCTTTCTGCTCTGTGAACTGTGCTCCAAAGCAGCTATGATGGCCTCGATCGCTTCCTCTCTGTATACGCTGTACTGCAAAGGATCACCCTGCAAGAAAACTTCCATATGGGAATTGAACAAATACCAAACACGTGCCTGAGCAAAGGAGGAAAAGATAGAGGTGTTACCAGGAGATCAAGCTGAAGTAACATGATAGCTGCTAGTGGGTGCTGGACAAGAGGAGCCTGATGGAGATAGACTAACAGAATATGCATTGTATTCAAGCACCCAGTGTTTTTCAGCTCCTTGACGAACTCCACAGTTTTAGTTGTTCTGTTTAAAGAAAGAAAATTAGTTCAATCCAAGGGGTATTTTAGAGATGTTTTTCAGAATACTTATGTTACTGACAGTGGAGAAGTATGTCACCT